TTTACTGTACTCACGAGAAGCAGGCGTAAAAGCTATGTGGATGAAAACGTCAAAAACAGAGAGGTGTTAACGTTTATTATTTAAGACAATTGAACAAAACCGCGCCTGAAGATTCTCTGCTATTCGTTTTGCGATGTCATCGGCAGCGTCTTCATTTTGCTGATAACTGAAGGTAGCAGAAATGATCGCAGACGGGCAAAGACTGTATTTCGAACGAAACAGGTCTCCCATATTTTCAAAGAGGTTCCGGGACCGCAGAAGTCAAATGCTTTCAAATGGTATTTTCATCTCAGGATGTTTTGGAAATCCTTGTCAAAAGCAGGAAAAGTCCCATATCACAAGTATATACTGTAGTATACAGAAAATAATGACTCAATTCTGTATCGGAGTACTGGTGTCAGGATTGTAGGGGTTAGGATCTGTAGTACTGAAGTACTGAAGGAGTGGGAAAAACAGTGGGCAGATAGCACCAACAGGAGAAATAAAGATTCCAAAGCATAGAGCTTGTATCAATTATAGAAATCTGAGCTTTGCATCAGTGGACTGTTACAGTACTGTACACAAGAACAGTCCCAAACGGGTAGAAGCCATTTGGCCCAATCCAGCCCACTTGGTAGTCAGTTGCTAACTAATCTATGGATCACAGCTGGTAACTAATCCAGGGATCTCATCCCGGTGTTTCTTGAAAGAATCAGCTTCAACAACGCGACTGCGTAGCTTGTCCCATTTACAATGAATCGTACCCTCAAGTCAAGTACGCGTCCCATTTCTGGCTAATGCTTTGTGCTCTGCTTCCTTCTCGTCCTGTTATGCATGAAATGAAGTACAGGCTAGGAATCTGAATGCTCTGCAGGTTCTCAGTACAATAGCCATGGAGGGGTATTCAGCACATAGACCATGGGAAAGAGCAGTCACCGGAAGTAACTGCTCATGCGGTAGGACGTGCTACACATGCATCACCCCCCAAGTAGGAAAGTTGATTATAGTGGTAGAGATTTTTAAAAGGGGTGGGGACTGTGGTATTGCTGCAAGGCCAGGTCGCCTCTGTTCCTGCAAGCATGGGATAGCTGTGTTTGTAATCTAGGGCAGAGTCTCAGGGGGAAAAAACAAACAACAGATTGATAGAGGTAGTAATCTTCATGAATCATTCCGCAATGCTGGTTTTTTTTAAAGACAGATTTATCTCACTGCTAAAATTCTAATCAAGTCTGTTATCTTTGTGCCGCAGGTTCAAAACCAGCCAGAGGTCCCAAGAGGCAGACGAAGGTCACGGATCTCAAGTTTGTTGGGAAAAGAAGAAAATTTACCTTCCTGTTCTGGGGGGGGGGTCTTCCCTGTTTCCTCCTTAGTCTAGTTTTTCATTGCATGTAAAGAGGCGTCTGTTGGTCTCTCTCTGCACGTGCTCATCTCGCCTTTTTTCCCTGCTGGCGGAGAGGGGGACCCCGAACGTTCGAATGCATTTGTCACTAGATACCATGAGCATGGTGGACGACAGCTGCCTCTCGCCGGGAAACTTCCACGAGATGGTGAAGGCAGGGGGGGCCTCGGCGGGGGGCCGCGTGCACAGCATCGACGTCATCCTGGGCTTCAGCAAGGACCAGGACCCCCTGCTCAACCCTACAGGGGCCCCTGGAGCCCAGAAGGCTGGCGTAGAGAGTCTGGGGGACCCGGGAAAGCCAGATGCATCTCACCCCTATGGGCACCTGCCCCCTCTGAGAGATGGCCCCGACCAGGCCAGTTTTCATGGTAAGGCCCACAAGACCCACACAGACTCGAGTAGCTTTTAATATTGTATTTTCCTGCAAGATATCCTGCTGAGACTAGTGGCCGTCAAAGCACTAGGGTCCCTCCCACTGTAGAGAGCAGCAGAACCATAGAGATACAACTGGGGCTTCAAAATGTTGTCCAGCTCTGCAGACACATAGATGGTCATAGGAACAAGTAAAGGTTTATTCCACGCTGAAAAGAGAAGAAGGCTCCACAGCCGAAACATTGTGTTTTCTCTCTTCTCTTTTCAGCAGGGAACAAACCTTTACCTGTTCCTTTGCAGCCCACGCATGCTGACGCAGCTCCCTAGTTGAACTGCTAGATGGTCATAGACTGAGATGTGGTCACTGCATGGGTGGACCACAGTAGGCTGACCATGGATGAGTACACCAGTGAGCCAGCAGGTTTACTGGCTTTTATTTCCACCTCACTCTCCAATAATTCGTTGAATCAGATGGCAAGAGGCATAGGAAACCTTGGGAGTAAGGCTCTCCAGGGCCAGGGTCTCACAGGACCTGCCAAAAGCCCTGCGCCGAATAAAATGCTCCTGTAAAAAAAGAATTGTCCTAATTATTTATGTACAAGATCCAAATTTTTTATCCAGGTCTACCAGGTCATTTCCTTTGAATGCAGGGGATAGGCAGCTCCATCACAGTCTCTTTGACTCTGGCCATGTTCATGAAGTAGCCTTGGTTAGTCAGGCGAGTTGTATTATAAATGCATATGCTAAGCGCAGTTTTTCAAACAAGGCTTTTGCCTTGTGTTCAGATAGCGGCCGAATGATTTAGTCATGTGTTTGTTATACGGAAAAAGAAAACCGCTGTGTCAAAATGCTTTAAGCATAATTTACTGCCCGCCACCTGCCAGGGTTTAAAGATGCCGGCTGAGAGCATTTGAGCATGTATTCTAGAACAAATTATCCTATCAAATCAAGTGTACAGAGCAGCACTCGGGTCACTCTGGGTTTTCATTTGATCTGAGCACGTAGTTCATTAGAGGTCTGACTTGTATTAATTAGACCAAATAAGAACAAACTAAATTCCAGGATTTTAGGTAATGATGCTGGCTTGTTCCCTGTTGAGGACTTTGGGACCAGCCCAGTAAATCACTTTTGTGAACAATGTGCTGTACAGTGACAAATTCTGAATCCATTCTTACCTTTGGGTAATGTAACAGGCACAACAGCACCTTCTGGTTCCCCATCTTTAAGTTTTTGCTATTTCTGGGGCTTCAGTTTGGCCTTTTAGGATATATTGTTATCTTTCGTAGTTGAAATTGGACCATGTTAGAGTGTACCTGGATTCATATGATACTCATGAACCAGGTAGACTATTTTTCTAAGTCGTGATTGGTTTTGGGACTTTGATCTGTTCAGACTGAAGAAACCTACAGTATATGGGGCTAAACCTCTAGGCACAGCGGTCAAAGATTTGGTGATTCAGATGTGGTTCTGGAAAATAAGGAGGGTCAGGCTTGGCTCCGTACCGTTTTCTCATACTGTAGAAAACTGTGGATCAGTGATGATGATCTTTTTATCGTTTGCATGTCTTTCTTATCCTTATCCTTGTGGAGCACTATATGTGCACAGTATTGAAGAACGGTCAATCATGGTCAACACGTAGAGAGAAACATAGAAGGACTAAAGAGTACTGTACATGTTACAAGTATAACATGAGAGAAGATTGAATATTTTGACTGCACATGGATGGGCAGAAACAAGACTTTAAAGAATGCCCCTTACGTTCACAAAAGAACGTGTTCCTCGGTTTTTTTTTTCAGACCCCTTTCATCACTGGATCAGAATGTTCTTTTAGACAAAGAGACATTCTTTCACTGTAAACATGCTGCCCTGCTCCGCAGAGTCCTGGAGAGTTCTGACAGAATGACAGGCAGTGAGGCGGACTGTAACCCCTGCCCGACCTCCGCCTTTGTCCTGGTGTCACACCCTGACGGAGCGCCGAGCGATCTCCAGACTTCCAGGGGCTTTGCCAGCGTCTGTTAATGAGAGGAGGATCAGCAGGCCTAAAAAGCCTGTCCTCGTTAGTTAATTGAGGCCCCCTTTGTGGGGGAGAGCAGGGGCGGGCATATTGAGTTTCAGAAAGGCACCTAGGTGTGGGAGGCCGCCAGGGCCACACAAACACAGACTCACAATGAGTCTAGCCCCAGGTAACATTCTTCTGAAGGTGGCCTGCAATCCAGACATCAATTAAAGCCCAGATGAGAGGGGTTTAGTACTGTACTTAAACAGCTGGGTACGTAGGACAAAAGATGAGGAAACTGAGACATTTCTCCAGCTGCCCTAAAGCTTTAACCCTCCTGTAAGTGGAATCGACAGCACGGTCTTGGGAAACCAAAGCTAAAAATCGGTCACGGCAGCAGTCCTTTCACCCTGACCCTCCTGAGAGTGTCCCTCGTGCGAAGCACGACCAACAGGAGTGGCACAAACGTCTTTTTCAGATTTTCGAGAGATGCGAAATAAGGAGTGTGTAATGCACAACCTCTTCTGCTGTTTGGCTTTATGTACAAGCGCTGCTGCCAGTCTGAAGAAAATCATGTCTTGGGGGCTGGGGAATGGAACAACGTGTCCAATTTCAAACCCAAACCCAAGGTGTCAACACTTTTGAACCCCAGACCTGAATATGATTCATATGAATAATCCCTGCACCAGATTCAAGATGGCTCTTGAGACTAGTCTAACACAGCCTCGGCATCCCACTACAGTGCATGCTTTTATGTCAGTTAAAAGTCACTTTTATGCCTTCGGCAGCAGGATCAATTAAGTAATTAAATGCCAAATGAGTGAATGAATAATGTACCAATGGGATCAAAGTCCAGCCACATAGAAGTGTCAAATCTGTGTACTCTGCTAATGATAGCAAAGCTGTAAATACAGATGAAGTCTGCTGTTATGCATTTTTATTACAGTATCAATCTTAAAGACGTGTGTTGATGTTAAGATAGTTTATGCCTCTGTTCTGACAGTTATCAGTGGGCAGCAGCTACAGTCTCTCATTGCATGTCTGCAAATTAGACATGTAGGTTGGGTTATTATTTAAATGAAGTGGTGCCTGTCCATTTTTGCTGCACTTCTGCTGAATCAATGCTAATCAATCCTTAGTTAGATTAAGGCTGGGAGCACATGGAAACTATCAGCAGGATTAACAGACTACATCTGTTTGCAGGGGGATTAGGGTTAAGACTGCAGTGAAAGCGCTGGTAATGTGTCACTAACAAGTGGCTTGCCTGTTTTTAGTTCTTATAATAAAATGGGAAAAACTTTAAACTGTGAAAGTATCAGCTTTTTGTATGAATATGATGGTGGGCTATCTTTTGCTATTTATTGAGTGCAATTAAATTATAAAGTGCTTCAGCTGCTAGGAAATAAGAGACTAAATCTCGTTAGTGGTGCATTTGGGAGTACTGTCTGTTTAGAGCAGTGCCTTTGGGTGTTGTAGTCACTTTCAGGTTGGCAAAGAAACATCTACTTCCTCCACCTGCTTGGAGCCAGGCAGGATTCTGTGAAATTCAAGGAAATACAATTCTGTGACATAAAAGGACTCGTCTGGTGACTGACCTGAAAAAGAAAAGAACGAGACTTCCACTGTTGCACAAACAAATGCTGAACAAGCATGCACAAGGCAAAGGGAGCAGGGCATCACGGGCTGGGACGAAACAAATGAGACAAGTGCTCTTTTCTCAGGATGTAGAAACAGCATGGGTACAGAGTTGCTGTCCCATCTTACATGCCTATGTAGAGAGCATGGTCTGATGGGCCTTCTGTGGTTCCTTGACCATCTACATGGAAGCTTTTATTCATGAGATCAGAGACCGGTTCTGAGAATTCTGAACATCTGGTTTTCTGCTGACGAACTAGTTTGATCCCCAAAAATGTAAATTAATTTGATCTTCAGTGTTAATGTGCTGTACTCTACAACTAAAAGTAGGGGCATTGAATTGAATCTTTTGCAGTGCATATATGTTTGGTACAACTTCCTTGATTATATAGCTTATTTATCATTCTATCCATTTAGCTGTATCGAAATCCATATTCAAAAGTAGCTGAATTGATCTGAAGGAAGATTTTTAACAACTGGTCATTGCTGGTGCCCGGGAATGCTGTCCAAGGTGCTGAATTCTATCTATGCTGGCAGGTTAGGTTGCTCAGGAGTGCTGGAAAACATGCAGTTTGTCCAGTTGTCCAGGCGCAAGCATGCTGCTGTTTCTGGGGGTGGAGTTGATGGTGGTGGGGCGTTGAGGTCATCCCTGGGCAGAAAACACACCCAGCAGTCTGGTCCTAAAACCATCACGTGAACAAGGTCCAAAGGCCTGTGTGTTTGTATCAGAAGAGTTAAGAGTGGTCTGTAAAAAAACAAGGAAAAAAATCGCAACTTAATGGGACTTCCAAAAAGATTACCAAAAGGTATTTGCAGAGTTTTGAAACCAGCTACTTCAATAGGATATTCCCGATAAAACAGGACAGTGAGGAACATTCCGAGTTTGAAGCGGGTATTCAGTTCACCTAGTACAGGATGATTACACTGGTCACAGTAAAGACACAAGCATTTCGAAATGACTGCCCGCACAGTGAGAAAGCAGGTCTATCTGTCTGAGTGCTGCTGCTCCCCTGTCCTGTACTGCGGGCGCCTCACCTGCCCTCTGCTCTGAGCCTGGCTCTCCTGCTCTGTCTGTCCAGACTCCAGCCTCTTCTCCAACAAGTGCGAGGGGGAGCTGAGCGAGCTGCACAAGACCATGGAGCGAGACGGCCCGTCCCCCGAGCCCCTGGAGGAGGAGCAGCAGCCCAAGAAGAAGCACCGGCGCAATCGCACCACCTTCACCACCTACCAGCTGCACGAGCTGGAGCGCGCCTTCGAAAAGTCCCACTACCCGGACGTGTACAGCCGCGAGGAGCTGGCCATGAAGGTCAACCTGCCTGAAGTCCGCGTGCAAGTAAGCAGAAGCGCCGACCCTCTCTAACAACCACCAGAGCAGCTGTCCTTGCTTTGGACATCCCCTGCTGGCCAGGCTGTTAGTGCTTTTGCTTCACAGCTCCAGGCTCCTTAGTCCAGTTCCAGCTGCAGGCGTCTGTAGAGTTGCACTGCATCTTCTCCCTGTGTTTTAGTGGGGTTTAGTGTTTTCTCCCAGCCCAGAGACACGCGGGAGTGGCTCGACAGGTTATTCTGAACTATCCCTTTCTCTGTGGCTCTGTGACAGCTTGCCGTGCTGTCCGGGGACAGAGACGTCCTGTGTGCTTTAAGGCCCTGCAGTTCTGGGACAGGATCTGTCTTCCTGTGACCCCCTCCAAGCTGCAATAGCAAATTTAGACTCCAAGGATTAGTGCTCATGGTTATCCCCTGTTGAGCTTTTGTAATGAAACGGCCAATTTACTCGGTGGCTTGGGTGAAATGTGCTAACGTCTGTTTCATGTCCCCTCATAGTGCTTTTTTCTTTTAAGAAACAGGGAGTGTAAATGAATTTCATTAAAGCAAGAAGAGAAAGGAAAATGCCACAAGCCCGGTGCCCCACCATTAAATCTGGTTGATGTCTTTCCCACTCTCCAGGTGTGGTTCCAGAACCGGAGAGCCAAGTGGCGACGTCAGGAGAAGATGGACGCCAGCACCATGAAGCTGCACGACTCGCCCATGTTGTCCTTCAACCGGCCCCCCATGCCCAGCAATGTGGGGCCGATGGCCAACTCCCTCCCCCTGGACCCCTGGCTCACGTCTCCCCTCTCCAGTGCCACGCCTGTGCACAGCATCCCGGGGTTCATGGGCCCCACGCAGGGCCTGCAGCCCGGGTACCCCAGCCACAGCTTCCTCAACACCCCCCCTCCCATGGGCCAGGGCATGCAGCCCATGGCACCCCCACCCTACCAGTGCCCCGCCACCTTCACTGACAAATACCCCCTGGAGGATGTGGACCAGAGGAGCTCCAGTATCGCCTCCTTAAGGATGAAAGCCAAGGAGCACATTCAGTCTATGGACAAAACATGGCAACCCATCTGACGAACTGGAGAAAGTCTCCTCCAGGGAAGAAGCACAGGAGACAAAAAAGACAACTCTTGAATTTTTCTTTTCTACAGTGTCAACAGTTATTTTGTGAAGCTCGGTGACGAAGTACACGGGCTCCTCCCGACACAAAATCGGTGAAGAAATGCTGGCTTTTTTTTCAGGGTCCCTACACCTCACCTCCACGCACTCTCTGTCTGTGGCTCAGCCTGCGAGCGAAGGAGCTTGGCACCCCGATTTGTTCGTGATGATGATTGTTGGCGAAGTTGTCCTTGGTACCACGTCAGCCCCATAGGACATCTGCGCTACACAATTGACAGCCTGAAAGGTAAGGGATTTGAACTGTGCAAACACTCAAGAGGAGGTGCCTGTTAATTCTGGGAGAGAACTGGACTTTGCTCATGAAAAGGGTTGCTTTAGATTAAAGGCTTTTCACCTTACTGCTCTCATACTACATGGCCTGGGAGCTACGCAAACCTGCTTCTGCAAACTAAATGCATTTTTCTGATGCAACACGGCTCTCGCAGATGATCTCAGCAGCAATCTGGAAATGGGGATATTCTATCCTGGTCATGATATGGGACTGGTTGATGTCAGTTAGCCTTGTTTAAATGCATCGCCATTTGAAAAAAAATGTCCAAAGATTGATGGGGTCTCATGTTCATAAAAAGGGCATGGTGAGGGGTGTGTGTCATATATGATTAGATAACTATTACAGGCAGACAAGAAGTTAATTTTTTTATTGTCTCATGTGCATGGTTGTTTTGTTTCATTGTTTTTTATGAATGTGGGAATTAGATTATAAATCCATTCACCATTTACTGTACAGGCGGCATGTTTTTCAGCAAAAGCTTGTGGCAGAATAGAACAGGCTATCCACTGGCATCTTTCAAGAAATGACCAGATGCAATCACTATATCTATTACCTGCCCAACAGGCTAGATGATCCGATCGGGCCAAACAGAATCACAGTCCACAAGGTGGGATAAACCCAAATAAGTTACCCATCCTGTGACAGAAGTACATTTTCTGATGCTGAATCTTGCCGAACCCTGTCTGTTATGGAGTTTGTGTTTAGGTGGGATGCATTGCTATGATCTTTTTTGGTGTCATTTTCCCAATTTGTAAAATAAGGTCATAGTTTAGTGTCCACCCTTTTTCGGGATGATGTGCTCATTCTCTTCTGCGAGATGAAGTGTCAGATGGCCGAGGCAGAGGATGAGAACGCAAGGAAGGCAGAGATCTAAATACCACCGGCACGACGTCTTTTCGAGACAGGAGATGACATCCTAGAGGAAACTTGCCTCGCTGCCTGCTTTAACAAAATGCAGGACCTACACTCTGTTGGGACATCCGCTGTCTGGAACTTGGCAAGGGAATCCCAACAGGAGAAGCAGTCTCGGATGATCAGATGTACATGGGGGGCTAGAGAAAATGCTCTGGGAATCTAATTAAGGAAGAGGCAAAACGGATTTTAACACCTCATTCATTACATCTTTAATCTAACACCGTCACTGTCCGTGCTGGTAAATCCCAAATGCCCAAGGCTCTTCACACAACTCAGATCGTCTTTGCCGGAGGCAGGATGTGGAGGGAGCCTGTCAGACTTGCTAATTTGGGCAGACATGAGCTCCTCTTAACACCTAATTAACTGATTTGAATGCGATTAACTTCTGCTCCTAATTGACTTGATTGGCATCTGCCCTAAGACAACCTTCCTGGGGCAACTGCAGCCCTGACATCCCTCAACAAACTGCCCTGCTACCCCCGCAGGAGAGGGGCATCTCCAGTCTCTGGGCCAGGGCAGCACGGGGAGAGCCAGCTAGGGCAGGGATGATTGTGATCAAAAGTAGTACCAAAATCCCTGAAACGGACCTCCTTGCTTCTAGAAAAAGAATCCGTCTGCAACATTTAAAGCCTTCCGCCAGCAGGCATATGATGCAGCAGAAGGAGAATTGCTGGGTGATTCATCTCACATGGTCTGTCTTTGTTCAGTATGATTGATCCAGCTCAGTCTTCTTTGTCTAAGGTCCATGGCTGAAAAACAGTGACAGATTGAACTAAAGCCAGTAAACAGCTCTGTGAAACGTCCTGTCTTTCTTTAAGAGGTGTTCCAAGCAATTTAGTTTCCCTTATACCAGTTCCAAAGGCTTGTTTCATTAAAGTTATGACATAATTATTACAACATTATAAAATGCATGACTATTACAGTACGTTAACATACATTTCTGAGCTCTTCAGAATTCATACTTTCAGAGAGTATGAATTGTTATTATAACTATTCCCACATCATCTAAATCGATCATCTGTCTCTGCATATTTTTGAGGAAACATCACTGCAACGTTAACATGCGAGTTGTTGAGAAGAGTCCCATTTTTTTGCCTCTCATTAAATTGATAGATCGTAAAGCAATTCATCTCCCATTGTCAAAACAGAACCTTGAAAATACATGCACAGTACATGCCCCTGTTCTTCAGTCAGTCTTGATCTCGGCAAATGCCAATTGAAAGCTAGGAGCAAGTCCTTGGAAATATAGCATAGAAGAGGCCTGTAACACATTTTGGATGAAAACCTGCTCTGTCAGGAAATATCTAATACCTAAGACTCCAATCAGTACTGAACCAGAGTATCCTGTCAGTGTTTTTGATTGACTGAAGAAAAAAATGGCAAAGACAATACAGCTGGACTCAAAGACTAAAACAGGCAGCTT